AGGGGGTATGGAGAGGGAAGAAAGGTAAAGGCTTCAATATTTATCAGGGCTTGCAACAGTAATTCAAGTCACTTCACTTGAACTAACCTAGATTCAAGTGAAAGCAGCCACTCAGGGAAACAATGCATTAAGCTACCAAGTGGCTGGATTGATGATGAGAAATTGATGAGCTGAATTAACTAGAACTACACCCTGCAGCTGCTCCACTATTTCAATACTAGTTCAAGCATGAGATGCACTCGAACCTCAATACCATACTCATCAAAATGGCCAACTAACATTAATTTAAAGCATCATTTAACTTGATATAGAAAAACGTACATGTGGCCAGAAGTTGGTTTACAGGCAACACTTGAAGTATCCCCTCTCTCATACTGCTGTAAAGACAAGCCCAGCCCAGCCACAAGCATAAAAAAAATCCAATGTGAAACAGCAATAAAAACGGTACACACACGCATTTTACTTTGTAATTAACAAGTAAATGTTTTGGGTTAGATAGCAAGGCATGTACAACGAAAGGCAACATAACAGTTATTTATAATAGGAGTGACCTTGTTATCTGTTTCACAATGAACAAGAGCTTCTTTGTAAAATTTAATTGCTTTCTCATAGTTTCGTTGGGCTGTAGAAAGTTTTGCAATCTCTGCACAAATTTCAGCTGCCAGCTGCTTCTGTGTAGGAACTGCATCCACTTGCTCTATCTGAACTCGTTTGAGTACTCTGGCTTGTATCTCCCGAGCCTCGTGAGAGTTAAAATAAAAAAATAAAGGAAAAGAGATGGGAGAAAATTAGCATGCTATACACTTCCTATAAAATCAAGATAATAAAAATACATTTTGTTAATGTAATTAAGCAAAAACACAAAAAAATACACAAGAGATGCTGCAGTCAGAACATCTTGAAGATGCTTGCCAGATTGGGAGGGGTACTTCACATAAAGTTCTTATTGCTAAAGAAGATGCAGTTTGGGTTATTCCTCTCTTTTTAAACACCTAAGAATTAACCTATTTCCACACAGAAAATGGTAAAAGCCTTTGTCCTTTCCCAAGATAACTCCCTCTGGCATTTTATACACAGTTTCATAAATACCTTAAAATAATTTTATTGTATGTACTAGCCCCCCCACAGTGTAACATCTACAAATCATAGTGTTAGTGTCACCCTGCTCTACCTTCTGTCTGATTTCAGACTAACTGGTTGAGAGCAGCATGAACTTTTATAAAAAACCACTTACCTAGTCAGGTGCTACCCAGTTCATCTCAATCCCTGTCCTACTTTCCTGATCTACATACCAAGAAAAGAATGTTGAATACAGAACCATACTGGTTTCTTGAAAAATCCATTTCTCCACCAGAGTGAAGTGAAATTCTTTATAAATGGATCTATGTGATCCAGCTAGGTTTCTTTTTTTTTTTTTTTTCTTTTTTTTTAAATCTAACAAGAAGCCAAGTGTGAAAGCAGGTATGTTTAAAATGACAACTTTTGTAGCCTACCAGACCTGGCATCCCCTAGAAGTGCTGCAAAACCTTATTTGGGCAGGTATTTAGCAATCAAAGTTAAGTCAAGGCCTTGTTTGGGGAGCTTTGTTGTTAATACACTTGAAGACATATTACTTACAGGGTATATAAGCTTCCCAGAGCTATTATTGGTAAAGAGTGGCAGACAATTTTGAATGTAGTAATAACCAGTGTCACTGATCTGCAAATGCTTTCTTTGTTCCACGCATTTCCACCTAAATTGTTCAAGATCTGGCCACCTGTAAAACCAGGTGGAACCTGGAGCACTCTAAAAGCCACAATGAAGTGATGACAATTAGCTCAAACTTGGGGGAGAAGGGCCAGGGGATCCTACATAAGAAAAAATGGCTCCTGCAGACACTTAATCCCTACAAACTCCACATTTTACTAGAAGCAGCAGCACATTACAGATGCTGCAGAGCCAGGTCAAAGTATAGATCGGGCACTTCAGTGGAGCTTTTTGGTGCTTTTATTGAACAGCAGATTCAATCAATGTTTTCATTCAAATTCAAAATGTTTTCATTACATACTGACAAGCAGCCCTTCAGGAAGACCACAAAAATGCAATCCCACTCCTTTCTCTGTAAGACTGACATAAATCAACAGAACTACAAAAAGGTTCATTATTTTTCTACATGAGATTTTTAACTCTGGCAGAAACGCAAAAACTGAACTCCCATGTAACATGACTAAACAACAAATCTAGAAGTTCTTCCTACTATATCAAAGATACCTGAGAACAGAAATACTATAAGTGGAACAAATGAAAGTAGAACATACAGGCTATGCCCATATGAGCAGGAGTATACATTTGCAACAACACAAATAGTAGCAGCACAGATTTGTGGTGAAGTGCATGGCCCTGCTCATGTGGTTTGCAGTGAGACGCATTGTCCCGCAGCTCCATGTGCCGTAGAGGGGTTGCCAGGGGCACAAAGTGCCTCAACCAGCTGGGGAGCAGCACAAGGAGACAGGGGAGCAGGCAGCTCAGGGCTGCCTACTTTCCCATCTCCAAGTGCTACTCTCCAGCTGGCTGGGGCACAGGGTGCCTCAGTGTGGGGTTTTGCAGCCCACGGAGATGGGGGAGCAGGCAGCCTAGGGGTGCCTTCTCCCCGTCTCTGCATTTGTCCCAGCACACAGCACTTTGGTGTGCTTTGCACTGTTTTTTTTCTTAAGGGTTTTTTGCCCCAGCACTGCAAATTAGCAGCATGGGATACGGTTTAACGAGCAAGGTGTGCACCTTGTGGCACCACAAACCACATATGCCTGCATATCTGTTCCAGCCATATGGTTTGTGTATGGTGGAGTAAGTCCTGCGAGCCCAACACTCTCCTTCAAATGAGAAGGACAAATGAGCAGATAAATAATTTTTGGACAAGATGGGGGTTCCAGCTGCATACCACCTCTGCTGTGCCAGCCTGTTGCTTTAGCTCACGGGTGGGCAAAATGCGGCCCAGAGCCTGGATGTGGCCCGCCAAGCCATTCTATCTGGCCTGCAGGGCTCCTAAAAAATTTAGAAAATTAATATTTATCTGCCCCTGGCTGCCTGTCATGTGGAACTCAATGGCTTGCCAAAACTCAGTAAGTGGCCCTCCACCTGAAATAATTGCCCGCCCCTGCTTTAGCTGCTACAGCTGCGATTTCGCTCCTGCTTCAGTCTCCATTACAGAACTCTCTGTAAGCCCCATTCTAGGTGATAATCCAGCTCACGGTTTCTTAACTGTTAATGCTGCCTTTAACAACAAAATGTACTACGGCCTTTTGTACACAGCAAAGTGCAAGGCACTGCCATCAGAAGCGCCTCACACTGCTCTGCAAATGTGCAGAAGCCCTGAACTAGAGGCAAATGCCTGTGTAAACCAGCAGTCTCTCTACTCATTCAATTTTCAACTGCTCTACTGAAATGATCTCAGATTTTCTGATGTGATGTTAAGTAGGACTTGGACTTTACATCCCAAATTCATATAACCCAACAAACAAACAAACAAACAAACAAACAAAGTTACCTAATAAATCTAACAAAGTAATTTACATTTAACCACTACTGAGCCCTTAATAACCCATGTTCTGGGCAATCTCGCTTTAGGTTTATTTTCTATTTCTTAAATACATTTCAGCCATTCTTATTTCTACAGAATACTAGGGAAAAATTAGGAATTCAGTTCTTTTAGTTTTACCTGTTGTAATGAAACAATAGCTTCATTAGTCTTCTCCATTTTGCTGTAGATTTTTGCTAGGAGAACATGGTAACGGCAATCTTCTATTAGAGAAGATAATTCATTTACTGTAAGAGTAGTATGAAACAGAAACATGATTATAGTTGGAACTGTCTGCATTGGCTGGTTTGAGAACATCTTGTGGGCAAGTCATAACAAAAGAATGAAGTTGTGTACATCTTCCAGGCAAAAGTCTAAGAAAAGTAGATTGAATATCTGTATTTCAACAGAAAGGAGTTGTGTAGCAGCTCAAGTTTGAAAGGTTAGGACAGTATTTTGTTCCTATCCAGTCCAAACAGTACAACAAATAAAACAATTAAACTTTGGAGAAGGTTAAAAGTTAATCCAGCAAGAATTTGAAAACCGGTAAACAAACAAACAAACAAACAAGAATAAATGAGCAGTCTTTGTAGGTCTTTCCTCAAAAACAAAAAATTATATTTCCAACGAATGAGACAGACAAAGGTATTTGTGGCATGCTTTCTATGAAGTACAAATTAAGTGTGTAAAACTGCTTCTACTGACATCAATGGCCACAGACATAAGTGCAGCTCCTCACTGCAACTGAAAACACTTTGCAGGAAGTGTTCTGGAGTTACAGTGATCCCCTGGACCAAACAGAAGTTCACTGTTGGTTCCAGGAGGGAGGGGAACCTAGGTGCTGGCTTCAAGTCTGCAGCCGGTTTCCCCTAGCAACAGCCCCTGACCCCTCCAAGCTGGCACTGTTTTCAGAATGGGAGAGGTGGGGAAAGAGTGAAGAGGGAGCTTGATCTAGGGGTTCCCCAACCAACGCTGGAGGATGGGATGGATGTACTGGAGCTCCTGCAAGGTAGGAAGACTCCAATACACCCTCCAACAGGGGCTAAAAAACCTCCAGATCCAACTCCCTCCACTCCCTTTCCCCCCACCCATTCTCAAAGCAGCACCAAGCTGGGAGGCAGGCAGACAAGTTACAGAAGATGCTATGTTTTGAAACATCTTCATGTGAACCGTCATGCAATGACGGTTCAGATTTTCACCCAACTAGCCACTTGTGAAGCATTCTGCAGCCGTGCACTTGTGTTTGATCACAGCTATAGACCACTGTGTGGGGCCAGATCCAACAGAAACTGCCTTGTAGGTTTCAGTGGGAGCAGGGAGATCTTGGAGATCATGATGTGCCCTAAGTACTTGTTAATCTTCAAGAACTTCCTTGCTTTGACAGGACTCTCATGCAGACAGTAAAGGAAGTATAACTTTGGTTATTTTAACATGTTTCAGGGACTAGTAAAAAAGCTGGAAGTTAAGCTTCACTTAGTGGTTGTGTCAAACCTTTAAAGAAACAGCTTTGAGGAATATAAACTATTTGCTATAATGTTTATCTGTTTACAAACTGACAGAGAATGGCAGCTTTAAAACACAGTAGAGGTAGACTGTATTCACTCAAACAGGATTATTACTTTTAAATCAAAATATAGAGCTGTGTGTTAAAGACAGGGATCACGGATATCGAGACAGGGATCATGACAGCCACATCTGGCCTTTGGGTTGCAGGGCTGAGTCCATGTGCTGGCTCTTACCCTATGGGCTTGACTGGCCATGTGCATTGCACATAGCACAGAAGGCCACCATGGAGCATCTCCTCCATGCTGTGCCTGACAGACCTGGAGCCAGTTGGCAGGGCACCACATGTAGTGTGCACACCAGGCTACATGCAACATGTGGCTGGGCCAGCTGTGCACATCATGTACAGCATGCACCAGCCCTGGGATTCACTGTGCACATGGCTCTGGGGGCCAGCACAAACTACAATCGATTTGCACATGGCACAGAGGGGTCTGCATGCAACACCCTGACCCAACCCCCTTGGGCTGCCTGCACGCCATGGGCATTGTATGCCCTGTGCTGGTCCAAGGGCCTAGCCCATTCCACAGCTGCTCCATAAGGGGCCAGTCCCAGTCTGGCCTGCTGACCAGCTCAGGGATGCTCATCCAGCCTGTGATATAGATGACCCTGATAGATATATATCAAAATGCACTTTTAAAATACTTAAAATACAATGTGCAACACTCAATAAGCAGGTCATCTTGAAGGACATATTGTGTAGAAAATATTTTAACAGAGCTGGAAGAAATTTATTATGAAATCTAGCCTTCCTCTTAGCCAATTTAGGATTACTCCATACAATACTTTTTGTGGGGGTTTCATTTTTATTTTGATGAACAATATATAGTGTACAGTTATAAGTTATGCTTAACTGTTCCACATCTCTCTCAATGGGTTTGTAGATCCCTCATTTAAGGATTCATAAGAGACAAGAAAATGTTAAGAACTACAAGAGAGAAATAAGCTTGGCTTGTGCTTTTTTGCCTCTTAAAATAATGAGGTAAGAAAGCTTAAGGATGTGCAAGCCAAACTGATTCTTGGGGTAGTGAAGCTCTCACTAACTCAAAAGTCAGATAATACATAAACTAACAAAGAGAACAGATTCCAACATAGTACAGACCATGGGTAAGTCTTTTCCTGATTGTTTTTTCATTAAATCTGGAGACTTAATATAGGTTGGAAAACTGGTTAATTAGTACAACAGTGACATTAAAAAGTTGAAAGCATGAAAACAAGTTGAGAAAAGATATTTAATCAGACTTTAAAACTCAGTTTGTTTTTCTATAAATTCAATGGTCAATTAATATTTTAAATGAAATAATTTTTTGTTAAGGGGTGCATAATAAAAATATCCTCCTAATGGTTTTCTAACCAGGAAAAAGTCCAAAGTTCACTGTTAAATGCTCTTTCTTAGACAAAAGCACTGAATGTTAACGAAACACTTTTCAGGTCCTCTCTGCACATGTTGAATAAAGACGACAAAGTTCAAACAATTATATTGCTTAGTTAAAATCCCAAATTTAGAAATTCTTTGTAAGGTACCTTTAAATAAAAGTTAACTTTAATTTTATATCCTACTGCATCTTGTTCGTTATACAGTGCCTACGCTAATGGTTAAAATGTCAAATATAATGCCTATGCTACACTTGTTTATTTGTAACTATCACACAAACACAAAGAATAATTTCTGTTTTGTTGTAAATCAAGTAACTAATACATACCTGGTTCATGCTCTAAAGCTTGCTGAAGTACTTTTTCTGCCTTTTCATATTGCCTCAATTTCATCAAGAGCTCAGCCAGATCATAGCACAGGAAATTCTGCTGACCACTTTTCAATGCAGCTTCATAATAACCAATTGCCTGAAACCCACAAGTATTTAATTCATTGAAGCTATGGCAAAACATTTTTTTTTTAAAACTAAGTCTCCTACTTAATCTTTTAAAATCACAAATAAAAAGTTACAAAAAAAAAAATCAAAATTCCTTTGATTTAAAAAATTTCTCTTGTGTGTTCTGCCTAGCATGTCCTTGGTATGTGAAAGATCAGAGCTGGGGGCACACAGACCCTTGGACTCATCTCTACCGCATGACAGCAAGAGAGGTGCCCACTGGGGGCCCATGGCCTATGTGTTGGCTGTATGTTAACACATGGCCCATGGGCCTTCAGTTGGATCTCTCAGTTCTAAGCCATGCATAAGACAATGATTGTAGTTTGGTTCTGGAACTTTTTAGGGAAAGTAAGCTTAAATCTAGACCCTCAAAAGAAAAGAGTTCTTACCTGAATTCTGTCCCTGCACATAAATGAAATACCAGAATTCCATAACTGCAATACTCTTCACATTGCTATCATGGGGACCACAGATCTAGTTGCTGTCTCAAGCCCCATCTGCATGTTACACTAAAGACACAATTGACTAGTTAATTATACCTTAAGTTGTGACCCAGCTACACATTCAACCAATTAATAGCATGATAAAACAAGAAATAAACTACACAGTTATTCTACAAAAAGCACGTAATGATTTTGTGGCTAGTTCTCATCAAGCTATAAATTGAACATGTGGTCAGGTGCTCTCCCGTGGCTGGAAGCCCCATCAACTGAAGGTCTCTAAGGCACAGGGTTGCATCACTTGCTGCCAGCCCTGCAGCTGAGGAAGCTTGCCACAGTGGCAGAGTTCTCCCTGCTGTCCCCCCTGCAAGCTTCTTTAGCTCTGGGGCTCACAGTGGGGAAAGAGGTGCCCCCCCCCACTTCATCAGGTGTGGGCCTCACTGCAGGGGCAGGAGGGAAAATGCTTCTACCATTGCCAGCCTTGTAAACTGCAGGGCTTGGAGCCATAGAAGCTGGTGCAGGGGGATCCCAGGCTCCCTCTGCATTGGCACTAAAGTGCAATGGGAACTAATGCACGATCACATGTGCATGGCAGGAGGCATAATTGTGGGATCACACATTAGATTCCACTGCCCCTTTACCTGCATGTGTAGAGGGGCACCTACAGCTGTTTGTAACAGTGACTTGCCTTCAGCTGTTTCTCATACCTAATGGCTTTTAACTCCTCTAGAGCAGTGCTTCCCAACCTTTTCCAGCCCAAAGCACTTATATTAATAAAATTTTTCTGCGACACACCTGTTAAGGCATTCCCCATCCTCACACCTATTGTAGCTAATTGTAGCTCACTGCCATGGCAAAATTCGCAGCACATCTGTTCATTTCTGATGGTACACTTTTGTGCCGTAACACACTGGTTGGAAAACACTGCTCTAGAGTCCTGAAGCAATCTGGCTTGAAAGGAGGATGGGGACCTATCCCAGATCAGATAACTTTACTTTGCAAACAAAACTTGATGTTTCATTATTTGAAGCTGAAAAGACAGTCATGAATCAGTCTTACCCCTAGAGCAAGCTCATTTCTTTAGGTCTTTGTTATTAGGTACATTTCTTAGACTGGTTGATTTGGTTTTTTTATGAACTAGAAATGACTAATGAGTAGGGCAGGGTGGAATCACTCAATACCCTTTAGAAAAACTGGTATCTTTTCCTGCATTTTCAGTAAAAGGAAATAAAGTTGCTGGTACCTGCCACAGAGTTCTTAATAACTAGTGACACTATTCTAGCAAGAACATAAGAATACGTCAAATAATTTTTAAAGCAAGGGCTGTGTCTTTGGTGCAGGATGCATGCTGCAGGGGTAGCTCCTGCATGGACTGCACTGGTGGCACACAGCCACCTTCCCTGTCATGTGGCCCTCTAACCCATCACATAGGCAGTGCCAGTGGCACAAGAACCCCTGGATTCTTCCCTGCTGTGCAACAACTAGAAAGGTGTCTGCTAGGACCTATGGGTTGCATGTTAACCATATGTTAACACATTATGGAAAATTAGGGTTGGAAAGGATCTCAGGAGGTGATCTAGTCCAACCCCTTGCTCAAAGCAGGTCCAACTCCAACTACATAATTCCAGCCAGGGCTTTGTCAAGCCAGGCCCTAAAAGCCTCCACAGATGGAGATTCCATCACCTCTCTAGGTAATCTGTTCCAGTGCTTCACCACCCTCCTAGTAAGAAAGTTTTCCCTAACATCCAACATAACCTCCCTCAGTGCAACTTGAGACAGTCTCCTCTTGTTCTGTGATCTGTCACCACTGAGAACAGTCTAGCTCAGCAGTTCCCAATCTGTGGTATAGGTACCACCAATGGTACGGAGACAACCTGTCAGTGGTACGCATTAAGAGATTTATTATAATTACTTTATATGAAAAAGTTTGGTGGTGGTACTTAAGGCTGTATCATTTTCAATTGGTGGTGTGCAATCTGTCAGAGTTTGGGAACTGCTGCTCCATCCTCTTTGGAGCCACCCTTCAAGTAGTTGAAGACTGCTATCAAATCCCCTCTGTCTTCTCTTCTCCAAACTAAGTAAACCCAGTTCCCTCAGCTTCTCTTCATAAGTCATATGCATCAGCCCCAAAACCATTTTTGTTGCTCATCAATGGACTCTCTCCAACTTGTCCACATCCTTTCTAAAGTGGGGGGCCCAAAACTGCACACAGTACTCCAGATGTGGCCTCACCAGTGCAGAAGAATGGAATAATTACTTCCCTTGATATTCTGGCAACGCTCCTACTAATGCAGCCCAGTATGCTGTAAACCAGCTTGGCAACAAGGGCATATTGCTGACACGGGTGCTGGGGGGCAGGGGGGACGATTCTGCAGAGCTGCTGCTTAGCCAGTCAGCTCCTAGGCTGTAGTGGTGCATGCGATTGTTCCATCCTAAGTGCAGGACTTTGTACTTATCCTTGTTGAACCTCTTGAGATTTCTTTTGGCCCAATCCTTCAATTTGTCTAGGTCACCCTGAATTCTAGCCCTACCCTCCAGTGTATCTACTATAACCGCCAGCTTGGTGTCACCCATGAACTTGCTAAGCATGCAGTCCATCCCATCTTCCAGATAGTTAATGAAGATATTGAACAAAACTGGCCCCAGGACTAACCCCTGGGGCACTCCACTTGATTCTGGCTGCCAGCTAGACACTGACCCATTGATTACTACCTGTTGAGCTCATCACTCCAGCTGGCTTTCTATCCACCTTACAGTCCATTCATCCAACCCATACTTCCTCAGCTTGCTTGCAAGAAGGCTGTGGGAGATAGTATCAAAAGCCTTGCTAAAGTCAAGGTACATCACATCCACTGCTTTCCCTCATATCCACAGAGCCAGTTATCTCATCATAGAAGGCAATCAGGTTGGTCAGGCATGACTTGCCCTTAGTGAATCCATGCTGACTGTTCCTAATCACCTGCTCCAAGTGCTTAGCAATGGATTCCATGAGGACCTGCTCCATGGTTTTTCCAGGGACTGAGGTGAGGCTGACTGGCCTGTAGCTCCCTGGATCCTCTTCCTTCCTTTTCTTAAAGACGGGTACTATATTTGCCCTTTTTCCAGTCATTTGGGACTCCCTCGATTGCCATGAGTTTTCAAAGATAATGGCCAGTGGCTCTGCAATCACATCAGCCAGCTTCCTCAACATCTTCAGATGCATTTCGTCTGGCTCCATGAACCTGTACATCTCCAGCTTTTCTAAATAGCCTCTAATCTGTTCTTTCACCACAGAAGGCTGCTGATCTCCTTCCCACACTGTGCTGCCTGGTGCAGTAGTCTTAGAGAGGACCTTACCTGTCAAGACCAAGGTAAAAAAAGCATTGAGTACTTCAGGCCTCATCATCTGTCACTAAGCTGGCTCCCCCCATTCAGTAAGGGACCCACACTTTCCCTGACCTTCCTCTTGTTGCTAACATACTCGTAGAAAACCTTGTTACCCTTCATGTCCCTTGCTGGCTGCAACTCCAATTGCACTTTGGCCTTCCTGATTTCATCCCTTCATGCCCAAGCAATATTCTTATACTTCTCCCAAGTTTTGCGTCCAAGCTTCCACTGACCAACATATGTGGTTTGTCAGTTAGGCATAATTTAAAACAGGGCTGCCCAAGACAAACGAGTCAGGCCTCTGAAGCTCATATCCCTAGTTTAAAGCAAGGCCCTCCCTGATCCAGCTAAACAGCAGGGCAAAAGTTCAAGTTATCCATTGGGAGATAGATATACCATAGCAGGCACATCTAGATGTGCACATTACTGCATAATAATTTAGGTTACTGCACATGTAAACTATGGCAATTTATGCTGACTTGGGCATAAATTTGATACCTACATCAGGGAGGTATCAAATTTATGCCTAATTAGTTACTGTGCAGTAATGCACATGTAGACGCCTTACTGCGCAAGAACACTGTGTGGACTGCCTTGGGACTAAACCACACACAGCATTACTGTGCTTTCACAGCTGCATGTGTAAATGCTGGCCTAAAAACCTTTACTGCACAGTAACTTAGCAGTAAGTTACCATTCAGTAAATGCATGTTTAGACGCACCCACTGATCTCCAACATGACTACTTGCAAATAGGCTCTGAGATGCCAACCCAAGTTGATCATGAGTGCCATTAGTGCCAAGGACAACTCTACAGACAGATACAGTAACAGGCTCTGACACTGAGTCCATTAGTAATTCTAATATTTCTGTGTTCCTCAGTGGGTTGATTGCTTTTTTCTCATCTCTACTAGCAGTGCTCTCTCCATTTTCCTCTTTCTTCCCCACTCTTTGTATTCTAATAACTGTTTTCTATTTAGAAGCCCTGCATCCTGCAGTCCCCTCATAGACACAAATGCTTATGCATCTACAATTTACTTAATCTACAAGATACCAGTCTGTCCTGCCTGTCAAGATATCTACGGTCATTTTCAGCGCTGAAGTTGGCAGCTGCCAAGGAGTCAGGATTCATAGATTCATAGATTAAAGGTCGGAAGGGACCTAGT